GCCGGGCGAGCTCCCCACTGTTGACTAGTGCATAGAAGTATGTAAGGCATAGTAGTACTGTACACTGAATTAAAGGCATTCAACGATATAGGATTAACCCGGATTACATGGAGATTTCACACCAGAATGAGGAGAATATCGAACAGAGACCAGGCGACGCAGGTGCACGAACTTCGCCCCGTTCCCCTGCCAATCTTGCCTTGTATGATCCAAGATTTTTAGCCATGCCAATCGGGAAATTTCCATTCCAAAATTCACACTGCATGTTTGGCACGCTCGTGATGCGATTTTGGGTGTGCCCAATGCCAATTTTGTATCCGTTGCGATCTAATGTTGCCCAGTAACCGCCCGAAATGACGCGCCAAATTCGCCTTGATCTGTTTTCACAGTGAACACAATCCCTTGGTTCGCAGAATGTGATGTGTGTTGTCTAGATCTATTCAAAACTACATGGTTCATTGTACGGTCCGGGACTCCGCGATAAGTTCTCTCAAGTTGCATTCGCAACCTAGCCCTACACCCCCAATTGGGCTTTAACAAGTTGATTCCAGTGCGCCCTGATCTCGCGCGGGGCCTTCGTCGACGTATAGTCCGTGATATTCCGCCCGTCTCCCACAAAGTCCTCCGTGTTCAGAGTCATAACATCGACGAACACGGCCGAGGGGAACTCCACGGTACCCGTGGCCAGCAGCGTCGCCCCATCGACGAACGCGAGGCCGGGGCCATGCGCCAACGCATCGTACGGGTCGCGGTAGACAGTGACGTTGAATCGTGCGCCTTGGCGGAAGAATGAGGGCTGGTTCTCCGCGCCGAAGGGCTGCATCGTAGCCTCTCGCCGGTCCAGCAGGAGAAGCGCCCCCCGCGCCAGCTCCTCGTCGGGGATCGTGCGGTCCAGCTGTAGCGACACCTGTTCTGCAGAAAGCTGTGCGTTAGGCGCGCGGAGGAGCATGTGGTCGATGTGCTGCTGCTGGGCCGTGCCGTACAGGTAGAACGGGGCGAAGAGAGGGTACTCTGGGTCGCGCCACTTAGAGTCGAGAGGCCGCTGTTTGACGACGCGGATGTTGGTAACCTCTATGCCGCGCACCTCGAGGTCCCTACAAGAGCATAAGATGTCAGCCGATAAAGAGGTATGGGCTTCTACAATTCAGGCACGCACCCTCCGCTGATGACCGCCGAAAACGAGCCTTTCCGGAGGATCTCGGAGAGCGTCGTTTCTTGCTCCGTGCTGAGCGTAAACACCATGTCTCTCCGCTCAGTACGGAGACGCAGGAAATCCTCCCACTGGCGTTCGTCTGCCAGTGATGCTGTCAGAATTAATTGGAACCGCCCGTTCGCCTTGCGGAACAGCGGCCTGTATACGAGATACAGTTGATCCGTTCCCTGCATGGTGAAGTCGTGGACCTGGGGAGTAAGAGTATTGCGCCAGACAGCATTCTGAAGTGTGCGTCAACGGATGAGTAAGGCTCACGCATACCCCACAGAGCCCAAGACGCACTTTGACTTCTTCTTCGATCGTCTCCTGGACTGCGCCTACGACCTTCGGGAGATAATCGCCTCCCGATAGGAAAGGTGACATGACAACATTCCTGAGAACGAATAAATCCAGGTTGGAGTCTGTTTCTAAGCCCAGACGCCTACAGTCGAGACAGGTGAGAAAGCGCGAAGTGGCAAAGACAGGATGCATACCGCTTGAAATTCTGGAGGCAAATTCCATACTCATTCGGGCTGAAAACTGTGGCGGCCATGAAGAACTTGTGGTCGCTGGGCGACTTGTTAGGGCTCGTTACGGAAAGGCGGTCGAAGATGCGCTTGTTGAGGTAATTCGCCTCCTCAACATCGTCGTTAACCCCACCATTGATGCGAAAGTTGCAGGAAAGGATGTTGATGTTGAGGTCAGAGCCAATCGCACGCAGCTCTGCCATCGCTTTCTCATTCCGAATAATTTCCCAATTTTCCTTTCCAAGAATCCCTTCCCGAATGAACTGTTTCTCTTCTTCAAGTCTTTCCGGGTCGTCATCGTGCACGAGCCGATTGAAGGGAACGACGATGAAATCAGTCGTGGCATCAGACATGGCGGCCCAGTGGGCTGAAATCTTGATGAAGCGGCATTAACAAACAAGGTATGGTAACAGCCACGGTGACCTTACCCTTCGGCAGGTAAGTGCTGCCTGGCCGAGAAGTGCACCATGGCCCTCCTTATGCAGGCCAATGACCTTGTGATGGAGGTGGGTCGCCATAGAGGAGGTACCAGGTTTGCTGATGATTGTTCCAGTGAGGAGGGGAGACCAAGCAGCACACACACGTCACGTACCTGCCCTCCAGGCAGTAGCTCGCCATGCTCTCGAAGGAGTCGTGCAGATAAGGTGCAGACCAGGTCAAGAGATACCGCATCCGCCCATCGCGATAGCACAGACCCCCGGCAGAATATGGAACGTAACCAGACTTATGAGGGTCGACGGTGACCGAGTCTGTGTAGCGCAACGCGTGGAGTTCCCTGATGGTGTACGCACGCAGCGTAGTGGAGGGGACGAATCCGGCGTCGGGTGCGGCCGATGTATGGTACCTACCAGATCCCTCGGGCTTGTCACGGATCATAGTCGCAAAGTAGCCGCCCCAGGCAGCGTCTGCGTGGATCACGAAGGACATGCCTCTGGCTTGGAACTCTTCGCGAATGGCAAGGATCCCAGTGAGCGGGTCTACAGAACCTTCTTGAGTAGAGCCGATCACTGCTACGACGGCGTACACGGCTTGCTGTCTTGTTAGCCTCTCCTCGAGCGCTTGATGGAGCTTCTTGAGGTCAATGTGGGCTTCGTTGTCGACTAGCAAGGCGTCAAGCAACAGACATCCGAGGGTGGCGCCATGTTACTCACCGGGAACATTAACGCAATTATCACTTCCAATACCAAGGATAGCTACAGAAAGGAGTAGTTTAGGAAAATTGCAGGTAATAGAAAGCCAATGCATACATGCTGATTTTGGCCATGAATAATGTCTGGTACTTGGGAACAGACACTGTGGGGGCTGCTTGATTCCAGATTTGGCCATCACAACGTCTTTGGTAGTCGTCTGAGCGAGGAATTTGTCCAGAGCGGCATTCAGAAAACTATTCGAGATCCCATATTCTTCATGCAGCCGATCCGCGAGGCCCAATATCTCGTCGACTCGCAGGTTGAGGAGGTCCCATGTGCAGAGATCCCTCAGCAATACAAGTTCGTCAGGCTTAGCGCATGGATGGACCTTGAAGCTGTCCGCAACGAATGCTAGTGCCTCCCCTTCTTCCATCGCCAGCCGAAGTGCGAGGGGATAAAACTTTAGATTGCGAGCTTTCAAAGGGCTGCACTGAGCGTACGGTGACAAAGAGAAGTAAATCAGACCCACCCGCCCTGCAGATCGCGGGGAATAAGAGAGATCCGGGAATGGTTGACATGAGAATTAGGGGGCGATGGAACAAGGTACTTAGGCGTCCTCACCACATGGATTCAAGGTTTGCAAGAGTTCCACCCGAGGGTAGATGGCCCCAGGCCACCGGTCTCGAAGGTTGATCATCATCTTGTGACGTCTCATAGCCTAGCATCTGGCAGAGTTGCTTTCCGACGCTGAATTCCATTATTGTCGTGAAAGGGCTAAGCTCAAACGCGGCCTAGAACGTCCATTGGAAGCAATTAGTCCATTGTCACGAAACAGCTTCAGCCAGAACGTACATTGTTTGGGTTGCACAATATGGTGGAGACCACACCAGCAATCGCCGGGAGACTTGTCTCCATGAGCATATGCCCTGCATACCGCGCTAGAGTATGAGGGTAAATCAACTTGGAGATTATCCCTGCGGCGAAGCTTGGACTCACGCGAAAAGAATGGGATAGAAAATCGATTCAAATTGTCAACGGCCTCTGTGAACTCGCGACGGAGAATCTGTTTGTTCTCCTGGAAGATGGAGGATGCTTGTATTTCTGGGGTAATGAACTCCTAAGAATGGCACTTGAGATCAAGGATTCGTTCACAAAGAAAAACACCCAACAGGATCGCCATGCTTTTCGGCATAGCTGCGACGCGTAGATGCATGGGATTCAAGAGCTTGGTCGACCAAGTCCTTCAAAATGGAGATGTTCTCCGCTCGTGGACCCAAGAACCATGCTGAGACAGACTCATGCAGGTTGTCTCTAAGGGGTGTGCGGTGAGGCATGGTAGTGATGTACACAAGTGGGATATGTTCCTTGGGGATGTTCATGCGAGGGCTAGGGGTTTTATAAATCCATCGCGCGGCTACCGTGCTGTTCTGGCGACGGATAAGTGAGATTTAATGAAGTGCGTATATCGGAGGATCCCACGGCAGGCTGGTACAGTTGTTCGTCGCGTCGGGTGGATATCAGAGCGAACCAGGTTCCTTCAGTTATAGTGCTTCCATGCATGTCGGAGCATGACGAGAGAACGCCCGAGACTGGGGACGCCAAATTGCGGTACTGGATACGGCAGGACAAGCGTTTGTCGTGAGCACCAACAGAAAGCAACTACCTCAACCGATCCTGACGGCACCCGAAAGGATTGCTGACGGATTGCTGTATCCGTTACCAGTCACTTGGTAGCCACAGCCCCTCCGGAGTGTAGTCAGCGGTGCAACATGAAACAAGCTGATATGTTATCTTGACTTTGAATTCGGAGGATGTATGGACAGTAATAGGACCGGCCTTGCCAACTCTCGATCACTTCACGTCCTTGCCGGAATGGAGGCGGAACGACTGGGAGTTAGAGCAAAAGATTTCGAACAGCCTTCCATATACGTGGTAGGCCATGACCCTCTCCCGAAGGCGGTTGGTCATGAGTATCAAAAACGGAGGTTCAGGAAGCAAGATGAAGACGTGAATGCGGAATTGTGCACTGTGTGAGTTTTGCCTGCTGGTGCCGGTGGCCGCTGAGCGTCACAACCACATGGAAACGCGTGGCCGGGCGGCGGGCGGCGGGCGGCGGGTGCAGTTAACAATTTAGAAAGGCAAGCTGACATCGCCCGCCTAGCTCAATCGGATAGAGCGTCAGACTCTTAGGCGGGTGCTGATTGGCACACAGCTGCAATCTGAAGGCTGCGAGTTCGACCCTCGCGGTGGGCTAGTACTTTTTAATCCCTCCCCACCCGCGGGGGTGAGCGCAAATATTGCGCAAATATGTTGCCAATTTGTTCTACTCTAATGCTCGATTAGAACATCGAACCTTTAGCCGTGGGCCTTAATGAGGTGGCGCTGGCACCGAGCGATTATCTATGCATCTCATGTCGGAATGTCGGTCGATCGATCGATAACCGTATATTTGACACAGCAGTCCGCGTGAGTACACCGGTGTTAACATCGCAACGCGGGCAGAAGTTGATGGGATTCTGACAGAACCCAGGGAACGGTCTACTAGGGTCTACTTCGCACCGGACACAGCTTCGAGGATGTGGGTGCCTTAACCGTCGAGCGTGGCAGCACCCGCACCCAGGCCTTCAATTACCTTCTCCACTCCACGCGACGCCGGACTCATTCCGAACCCAAGGCTAATACCTCCGCCCAGTGACCTCTCTTCAATACGTCCATTGGACTTCTTATGTTCCTCAACCAGCTTGCATAACGCGCTTAGGGTGGTCCAAGGAGGGTTATAACCCAAACCGCCTTTCTCTGGAGGTGCACGAGCGCGCGAGTCGTTCCAAATAAGGTGCACCATGGTGAGCGAGAACAGGGAAGGCTGGAGATTGATGAGGTCGCGATTGAGACCCGGAACGAGGCCTCCGAGTAGACGGAAGATGGGGTTAGAGGATAGCTTGAGGAAGGACCGCAGCAGGTATATGCACTCGAAGACATGTGCGAGCAGTAGCATGGAAGTCGCAGACATCCGCGGGAACACGGTTCGTCCATCCGTAAGAGTCGTGAGCACGGTGTACACGTCGCCATACGTGATAGGAGGCCCCGCATCAACAATGCTGAACGCCTGACCACCGATGTCTGGGTGAGGAGCGCCCTTCGCCTTCTCAATCAACCGTTGTTCGTAACAGAAGTGCGCCAGGGCGGCATTTTCCACATAAATGAAGTTTTGAAGGGTGTCCTGGATCCATGATGGGTTGACTTGTCGCACGAGGTATGCGCCACACAGGATATCTCCTCCAGGTCCAAATATGCCGTTTCCCGGGCGGAGACACCCAGTACGGAGCTCGCCCTTCCCAGATGACGAACGATCAGCTGCTCGCACCAGCCGTTCGGCCTTGAGCTTGGAGGCAGCGTAGTTCGAGAACATGTCCTCGTGGCGTATCGGGAGGCGGTTGTCGTCGTCGTCAATGGTCTGGGTGAGGAACTCTGGCTCCTTCTCCCAAGGCCAAAGCCACAACCGCGCGCGCCGAACGGAAATGGATCCGCTCGAGGTAAAGATGAAGACGGACACGCCAGCGTCCCGTGCAGCTTCCAACACGTTCTGCGTCCCTGTGACATTGACTATCTCGGAAAGGTAGAGGAGATCGGGATGGCGTTCATAGAAGCGAATGTTGGCCGCGGTGTGGAAAACTGTGATTTCTGGCGATATCTCTTCGTCGCCGCCTGGGATGATCGGCCACGGGGCATTGAAAGCAGCTAAGACTCGCTCCTTATCGGACACGTTAACTTGAAGGAAGTCAACGTCCTTCGCCAGCCCAGTGGTCAGGTCAGGGCGGGTGGGTGAGCGCAAGTCGAGGACCCGAATTCGCTTGGGATGCTCTCCGCGCTCAAGCAGGTGACGAACGATCCATCCGCCGAGAAAGCCAGCCTACAGTGTCGTGAGTCAGTAGGAGGCACTCAACAGGACATACTCACCCACCCCGCCAACTACGATGTATTTTCGGCCCGTACGAGGCGGAAGGAACGATATCGACGGGATTGAGGATCTCTCCCAGGTCGCTGCAGCTGCGAGGGCACCGCTCGCACTGACTCTTTGAGGCGAGAAGGCGGATGCTACCTCGGGAGGTAGTCTCATGAGCTTGGCATCGTTGACACGAATGTACAGGTACAAGAGTAAAGCAGGCGACAGACAGAGGAGGGCAACTACGACAAGACCCATGATGGGTTCCGTGCGGGGCTCGGAGAGCTTGGGCGATGAGTCGAGCGGCAGCAAGTGGTTTTCTTTTGTTTATCCATCTATTCGCAGACTGGTGTGCCTGTGTCGTGCTCAAGGCAGCGGTAGCCTCTCTATTTGGCCACCGCTTACACGATTTGTTGATAATTGTCATTTCCGACGCGAAGTTTTTTTACGGTCGAGGACCAACGATCACTCAGCAATCAAACCATGTATATCAACATGCCCAAGGATCGTAAAGCACATATACAGATTAGCTGCACAGATTGAGCATGGTAACAACTATAAGTGCTTAAGCAGGAGGCGGCGGAGGCGGCGCTGGCTCGCTGGGGGGAGGCGCTGGGGGAGCAGGCGCAGGCGCACCAGCTGCGCCAGGAGCAGGACCGGATGCAGGATCAGAGCCTGGGGCTGCATATCCCTGGGATGCATAGAACTGGTTGTATTGGGCCATCTGACTTGCCTGCCACTCCTTGAACTCAGGAGAGTTGACATCGTAGCCGTAGGCAGCCCTGTTGCATATCAGCAGGAGAACGTCGGGTTAACGACGATGAGCATACCAGTATGCAGAATAAGCGTCCAGATCGGTAGGTGCTGGCGCTGCAGAGGTACCACCTGCGCCGCCATCGGGTGGCGGAGGTGGTGGTTGTTCCCCGGGTGGTGGTGGCGGCGGTGCTGCGGATGGAGGCGGTGGAGTGTAACCCTAGTGAGCGATGGGAATTAGTTGAGAGACCAGTTAGTTTACGCCGAGTGGGCAACAAGCATCCTCATCACAGAAGCAAGACGGCAGAAAAATATACGCACAGGCATCATACCGTACGAAGCATACTGCATCTGAGCTTGGTGGAGTTCCATCTGCTGCTGATGCATGACCGCTTTGACTTTGGCATACTCCCCCCGGACGACCTCAAGAAGATCATCAGTCAACACCTTCGCACGTGCCACCTGGCCCTCTTCTGGCCCGCTAGTCCTAGGTCAGCACGGAAATTATTAGAATCGGGACGAAGTCGTACGTGATGTGAATATGCATGGGTTCTTCAGATTCTCGCCCCGTTTCCTGGTCTACGAATCCTGATCCTTGACCCTTGATCTGCACGCGAGTTCCCGTCTCTTGCTGGATATATTTGACGAACATACCCTGCGGAGGAGCCCATGAGATTTCGTCGGTTACTCCAGAACAAGTAGACTCACAGTGGGTCCGACAACCTTCGCACGCACGTTGAAGTTCCGGATTGACTCCAAACCAATGAAGATTTTCTCCTCGGGCCATTTACGCTGCGACAGGTTCCGATTAGCCCACACGTCACTGTAGCTTCTAGACGACACACCTTCTCGCGCCTACCTGTGCCCTTGTCCTCCACAAGGGATCCCATGTCGATCGATATGAGTTCGTTGACCTTATCAATGGCCTTCTGCAAGACCTCTTTGGTGTTGGCGGATATGTGGAGGTATAAAGGAGGGTCTTTCTCGGTAGCCTTCGCGCGGTCTGGGTACCATACACCTTTAGTGCTAACAGATGCACCTGTCTCTTCATGAACCTGGGATATAGGAGGTGAGACATGGAAGTGAGCATGTGGAAAGGTTTGCGCACCTGTTGCTGAGTCGAGCCCTTTGTCAACATGTATCGGTTCCTAACATCGTTGATATCGATGTCTTCAGTAAACTCTCCGTCATGCAAGTCCTTGGGTCCAAGTAAGCCGCCCCTGCGGGAGCATTGCTGTACTGCGCAGCGATTTTGGCAGCGATTGCTGCAGCTGCAGCTGCAGCCGAGGAGGCGGTCTTCCCATCGTCAGCGCTAGCGACCTTTGTGGCGGCGTCAGATTCTTCCTTCGTCTCTTCTGTCGCGGCTTGATCCCATTTTCGTTTTGAGGACATTGTGGTTGCAGAAGTCAGTAGAAATTGCTCGAGAAAGACGCGTCGAGCTCTCCCAGCTCACTTTGTCACGGTTTGCCATATGTATTATGTAATCGCGCTTTGCCAAACCACGGGCCCCATAATCTGCTGGAAGCCCACATAAAGTAGCTCTATAGAAGCGACGACGCAACGAGTTCAGATATATACGTCCTACACACAATCACCACCGCTAAACTGGTTTGATCGCAATCTTCACTGCATTTCTGCTATTCATCTTGTCCAGGGCCTCCTGGTAGCTACCTAGGTTGAAAACATCCGTAACCTTCACAGGGCGTCGTCAGCGGTCGTCATTCAGACAAGTGGGGCACGAACCATGCCCTTCACGTTGATCTTTCCACTTTCGAGATAGGCTACTGCACGGGGAAAACAGTGCATCTGCGCAAAAGACCCGATAATCTGACGGGTTTGTTTTCGTCAACTGACACAGAGCCTGACTGCTTAAGCGGTCCGCACCCGGATTTCGTCCGCAAAAATCTTGGAAGGTGGCCAGTGCACCAGCGCCGCATCGTCGTAGACGCCGTAGACAAGTAATGTACCGCCCCGGCGGACATAATTGATCGAGTCGTTCGCCACGCTCTCCGCTCCTGTGGCCTCGACCTAACGACCTGTCAACCATGGGTGCGCCTGGGGTATGAATGTTCACTGGCCACAATATCGAAGCCATACGGATGGTCTTCCTTGATCTGTTCCCACTGGGCGCGCGAATCCTGTCGGTCCAGCTCGACGTACTCGTCGCCCGCGCCAAGCTGTTGCGCAATCTGCGTCTTGATACCCTTGTTCGCCGCAATTACGATCTTCGAAGCACCGTTCAGCTTCAGCAGCTGCGCCATGATCAGGCCAGTCGGGCCGGCCCCGATGATCAGCACTTCCACGCCGACAGGTGCGTTGAGCTTGTCGACGCCGTGTATGGCGCACGCGGTGGGCTCCACTAAGGTTGCCTCCTCGTCCGTGAGATTATAGATCTTATACGCTTTCTTCGCCTCACTAGACGCTTCGAGATTCAGTCTGCTAGATCCCGCGCAGTGCACTAACAAACTCACAAAATGACGTATTCGGCGAATCCACCGGCCATGCTCACACCTCGGCCCAGGTAATGTTCGCAGAGCAATGGACGCCCCCGACGGCA